TGGTGTAACTTATTTGTTTACAAATGTGACCCTGAGTAATCCTGGTGTGAACACTCAATTGGTGCACATTGGGGATATGCATGTGCAACAGAAGAACTTTGGTACACTTCAGGTGCACAGCATGGTCACTGTGTAGAATTTCAAACAAATCCCCAGTGTGCACCAATTTCCCCACTTTGGTGGTGCAGATGACTGGGATCACAACTGATTTACATGGGCTATTCTGGGGCTACAAGCATGCACCTCTGTGGATACAATTTTGCTACCATTCCAGGGCTACATTTGGTGCACAAATGTGACATAGCACAAGTATCACAAAAATGCACCAACTGTAACCTTGGTGTAACTTTTTTATTACAAATGTGACCCTGAGTAACCGTGGTGTGAACACACAATTGGTGCACATCAGGGATTAACATGTGCAACAGAGAAAACTTTGGTACACTTCAGGTGCTCAGCAGGGTCACTGTGCAGAAATACTGACACATCCCCAGTGTGCACCAATTTCCCCACTTGGGGCACATTGAAGCCTGTATTACTAGATACAGTATTATAGTGAAAAATGAGACAAAACAAATTTTAAAAGTTACATTTTCTGCTTAAAGTTGATGCAGGATCACCTGAATCATAATCGACATGGACAAAAGCTATTTCATTTGTTATACAGTATGCGATTTTTCCATATACAGTATTCATCAAGATGTTTTGATCATATGGGCTCTTACCTTTTGCTGGTCATTCTCATCATCAGCAGCTGATGGAGATGCCGAAGATTCTTCGCAATTGGACGATTTTCCAAAATCGCCTGCGGGAATTCTTTGCGAATATTTCTGATAAATCCCTCTCAATAAGAAGTCTTTTTCGAAATTCGCTTGCTGCTGAGACAAGCCTTTCAGTGAATAAATTCCGGGAACTGATCCGTCAGCAGCAGTATTAGACTTGCTGATAAAAGACTGCCGTTTATTTGCTGATTTCTTGCGCGTCTAAAAAAAAATCAGTATAAAATGTTATTTGATTTTTTTTTGCAATGGTGGCATACGGTGATACGGATTTTGGTTCAGTGGGAGTATCGAATATATAGTATTTCCGGGACTAACTTTGGCATTAGCAGGTTTTTGTGACCGGAAAACAGGAGGAAGTGCGACCCGAGGTTGAGTGGTTTTCATCAACTCAG